GTGTGTTGGGAAACATGGGGAAGGGTAATTTTATAACCACTTCTATGGTAGAACTGTTACACAGCTAAGGTTCCATTTCTCATGTCACAGGCATAAAGAATCTCTGGTGTAGCATAGGCATTTATGTCTGTCCACAGATCCAGGTCCCAGGCATTATGGAAGCATTCTGTTGATGATACTACTCCAAGTCACCTTCTACTTTTTTTAAATCACCATCCAGTATCACATTGGTCTACTTTCTCTGCCTCTTTTACCACCTCTGCCTCTTCTACCACCTGTGCCTCTTCAATCACCTCTGTCTCTTCTATCACCTCTGCCTCTTCTACCACATCTGCCTCTTCTACCACCTCTGCCTCTTCTACCACCCCTGCCTCTTCTACCACCTCTGCCTCTTCTGCCACCCCTGTCTCTTCTACCACCTCTGCCTCTTCTACAACCTCTGCCTCTTCTATGACCTCTGCCTCTTTTACCATCTCTGCCTCTTCTACGACCTCTGCCTCTTTTACTTCTTCTGCCTCTTCTACCACCTCTGCTTCTTCTACCACCTCTGCCTCTTCTGCCTCTTCTACCACCTCTGCCTCTCCTACCACCTCTGCCTCTTCTACCACCTCTGCCTCTTCTACCACCTCTGCCTCATCTACCACCTCTGCCTCTTCTACCACCCAACATAATTTCTCTGGATCTGCCTGCTCTGCTTTTATATCCATCCAGCAGCATCATTTCTCTTGGTCTGCCTCCGATGCTTCAACCACCTCTGCCTCTCCTACCACCTATGCCTCATTACCACCTCTGCCTCTTCTACCACCCCTGCCTCATCTACCACATCTGCCTTATCTACCACCTCTGCCTCATCTACCACATCTGCCTCTCCTACCACCTGTGCCTCATCTACCACATATGCCTCTCCTACCACATCTGCCTCATCTACCACCTCTGCCTCATCTACCACATCTGCCACTCCTACCACCTCTGCCTCTTCTACCACCCAACATCATTTCTGTGGATCTGCCTGCTCTGCTTTTATATCCACCCAGCAACATCATTTCTCTGCCTCCTCTGCTTCTTCTACAGATAACCTTTTCTGTCATCACAGTGCTCTCTGCTCTCTAACTCTTCCTTTCTTATCACATAACTTAAGAACACTGCATGTTTGTTGGCATCTTTGTTAAACATAAAAGCACTGCTCCAGCCAGCATTAAACTAAAGACTTGTTATTCATTTTCTCCTGATGGTGGAAAGTAATTCAGTTATACCTGTATGGGTTCTGAGGCCCCAAATTTGGGGGTTAAAAAAAAAGGGGGGGGGGTGGATCCACTAATCCTTGTAAAAGGCTATTAATTAAGGGTGTCCTAAAATTTGATGTATTAGGTTGAAACGTGCAGAGATCACAACCTAACTGTAAACCGTAACACAACATTTCAACAGCCTTTTAAGGGCAGCAGATGAAAGAGAATATTCTGCTCCCTGTGATGAAGTAAAAGTAAAGTTAAGGATGCTTTTCCACGCCTACAGGCGTATAGAGCTAGACATATATTTTATAGGCCAATAGCACTGGGTAGGTGATGTGGTCAGCATCAGGCCAACCACCTTTACTTCCCAGAACTGTACCTGGTACCCACACAAAGCTGGGTTGACCTTGAGAGCCAGGATCATTTCTGGAAAAAGTCAGGCTCTGCGCGGACCCTAACCCACAACCTGCTCTCTATGATGGAAATTATATTTATTAACTATTTTCATTGATTCAATGCTAACAGTACCCGGCCACGCTTTGCTGTGGCTCAGTCTAGCGAAATGGAAAAGAAAAGAATAGAACGTGCACATGTCTTATATGGTTAATATCACATTTGGTGTCTGCGCAGATATACAGATAGTCTCATTTGCTGACTCTAGATCACGCAGCATATAAGTGTCTTTATAAAGGTGGTGGTTTAAATTGTATTATTAGGACTTTAAAAGATAGTATCTTTTGTGTGTGTAGCACTTGCTGCACATGCTTGAGTTTTTTTTTTTTCATTTTTACAGCTGAAAGTAAAGTTTACTACAGTATTTCTAAATGACCGACAGACTCACACACAAAAAACATGAGATTAGCCAAAGAAGTGTTATTAAAATATAAATAGTTTTAAAAAATGAGAACTTTAAAATCATATTTTTGGAGATTAGCTGTTACAACCAACCGAAATTTACATTTTCATTAATTTAGATACATAGTAGTTATTGCCTTAAAATTAATACTGGTTGCAGTATACACATGAGTGAGGTGTATTAAAGTATATATGGCTGCTAAAAGAACTAAAAAAAGAATATAATAATTTAAGGTGAAACAGTAAACAAAATAAATGTTATTTACTTGAAAAGTGACTGAAAATAATAATTATAGTTATAGAGGTCGACCCAGCCTAAAATGGTACCAGATAGTGTCCTTCTGGGAAGTAAAGGGGACCAGTGTGATGCTGATTACATCATCCACTGAGAGCTAATTGGTTTATCAAAACTTGAGTTTAGCATAATATGCTTTTTTTAAAACCAAAAATTATAATGAAAATACCACTAAAGCAGTAAAAGTCTGTTTTAATTCCTCTATTTGTTCTGTTCAATGGAGATTGCCAAAGAGGTTTATTGTTTTTTAGAAGTTTGTAGCTCGTATATTTATTATCTGTTGCATATATTAGAATAGTTGGTCTTATTTTGTATAATTTATTCATTTAACACAGTATATTTTAATGTAATTAGTTTATTTTTAGAATAGAAATGGTCTTTCTTTAATACTGACATTAATGTCAGTTGATATATGCAGTTCTGTGTGTCTGTCTGCCTGTCTTTTTTCTATCTCTGTCTGCTTGTTGGTCTCTCTGTCACTCTCTCACTCTTGCTGTCTATCTGTCTAACTGTCAGGATATCCATCTGTCTACCTACCTGTTTCTCTCTCCCTCTTTCTCTTTGTTGGCCTATCTATTGCCCTCTTGCTCTCTATCACTTTCTGTCTGTCTCTTACACTCTTTGCCTCCATGTCTGTCTGTTTCACTGTGTGTCTGTCTCTCCTTCACATAAACACAAATCCATATATATATGGTCACACATTCTCACCTATATATATATATATATATATATATATATATATATATATATATATATATATATATATATATATATATATATATATATATATATATATATATATATAGACCACCTAGCCGCACACACACACATGCATGCACGCGCACTCACAGCAGACATGTATACAACATATCCAACACACGTAAAATTTCATACTTCAGTAGCAAACAGTGTATTAGTATTTTATTCAATCAGCTTCATTGTTCATCTTGTCACCATTTGTCAGAGAAAGTACTTGTCTACAGATTGACTAATTCTGCACCACTTAGTATTGAATTAGTGCATGCTAAGGTAGAAGTATTAAGTACGTCTGTGCCGTCTTTGAGGTCAAAACAGGAGATACTATAACCAACTCCTCATGGGAACAATCAGTTAAGGTACCCTGGAGTGGCTACTTTATCAAAGGACTAAGTACGCTTGGGGATGCCCAGTCTGCAAAGGCGGGATAACATACCATAACATAGAAGTGGAAAGGCTCTTTGGGAGCACATAAACAACTCGGAAGAGTGAACAGGGTCTAGAACTGAGTTATCAAAACCTTTGATGTTAGTCACACACTCTGTATAACACAGTGATTTAGTCTAATAGAAAACTAGAGGGTGAACTAACCCCTTATAAGAGATACAAACACATAGTCAAATTGTAACAATCTAATGTTTAACACATACACAAATTGTAACAACGAAATGTTTAACAACACATCTTATTGAAATTATTTTTTTTTAAGTTGAAAATATTTAATATTTCCAACATTCATGTCATTGTTATAATTTTCGAGTAACAGTACTAAAACAAATTGAAAAACACTAATAACTACTGACCATTTGAATTAGGTGTATGTTCACATGACGCACCTTCATACTGCAGCAGACTCACTAATGTGTCATGACACACAGTTTGGACAGCTCTGCTCTAAAAGAAAAACACAAAAAGCAGTCACCAGAGGATCTGGTAGATACACAGTGCTCTGAACAAAGGAAATGCAAACATATAGTCGGATTACAACTGGCAGTATTGGAACTCTGCACGGGCTGCTGCACACTGGGATGTAGCTTTTATGGAAATGCCTGAGTGCTTAGATGTTGATTCATAACTCTTATATGCTCGTCTCTATATGGAGAGAATGGTTCAGTGGGGAGTCACCGGGGAGTCATCGGGGAGTCACTGGGGAGTCACCGGGGGATCTGGCTGACACTCTACACTCAGAGGAAAGAAAAAACAGGTGTATAATAATCATACTGCTACTGGTACCATTGGAATTTGAACTTTTCTTTTGCTGGCTGCTGAAGATGAGGAAGGAGTGCATATGGTAATGTCCCAAGAGTGGAACCAAGAGATAGTATTAATTTGTTTCATCTAAACATTACTCTTTCAGTCCCAAACATTGCATGATATGTTACTGACCATTCCCTATATGTCTCAAACATGACGTCAAGTGTCATCTTGTATTTAAGTTTTGGTCAGTGTATACTAAATAAATCTGGCGACCACAGGGGTATCTTTAATTCATTCATACAACCAACCATAAATAACTCGAAAGAGCGAACAGATCACCACAATCTAAAACAGATCTAATAAGATAATTTTATGGACTTGTCCGATGTGCAGTCAGGAGTGTCTTTTGATTAACTAATAAACTAACTGACTGACTTAACTAACAGCCAGAGGTTAAGAGTTTTTTAGGCAATATTTAATAGTTTAAAAAAATAATGATTTTTCTACAAAATCTTATGGAACCGAAAGCGTTAAGTATTCATATTTTTCATTATCCTTGTGAATGAAGTATTACACAATCAGTAACAGATTATATCTGTAAACATGTGTGTATGAGAATTATCACTAACATATTGTTTGTCTGGCCGCCTTCTCTCCTTGGCTGCTAGCAAGTCCCGACTGAGGAGGTGAAGACTATGGCTGAGATGACAATACCAGAGGTCACAATGTTCAGTCCAAACTTTGACTCATTTGATTTCCCTCCAAGAACGATTCCAGAGTCACAGACGGTTCTGGTGGGTGTTTTGTGAGGCTATCTTTCTTTGTTGTTGTCATGTTAAAATAATTAGTTCAGTTTAGTCAACAGAACAACATCGTGGCACACAGGTGTAACCCATAAGTGCTCCGTTATACTTTAAACTGTTATACTTTAAACTGTTATACATTATACTGTTATACTTTAAACTGTTATACTTTGAACTGTTATACTTTACACTGTTATACTTTAAACTGTTATACTTTAAACTCGAGCCTGAGTTAGAAGTGTCTCAGTGCAGTGCAATAACTCCATTGTACCAGCGAGGATCCTGAAATATTGTGGGTAGATTTTTAACTCCAAATTTTGCTCAGACAGTGCCGTTAGGCTACTCTTTTCGATTTCCAACTGTCAAGGGATTTTTTTAATGTGCCAAACAATACACATGGGCATCTGATCATACTACCAGAGGCCAGGGGGAATTACTAGAAGTCTACGTGAACAATCCCAGCCTTTACTGGAGTTTGAGCCTAGGACCTCCAGCACTCAAGGCGGATGCCATACCTCGAGATCATGCAGCCCCCCCCCCCCCCAACCCTGTTTAACTCTACCAGACTGCTGGCTCGCTATTACGGGAATTTCCTAAACTGCCGCCAAACCGCTATCACTCAATGTCGGGAATCTGCGTACTATGAGAAAACAAGGCGTCACAAACTAAAAATGTCTAGCCAGTTGTAATCAGATCTTGTGCATAGTCTTCCTAGATGTCCGCCCGCATGTGTTTGGAAAAAAATTGTTTTGTTTTCTGTGAAAATATTCTGAAAATTTGCAATAAAACTAGCGGTTGATGAACCAAGCACTTCGACAGGAAAGTGAAGTAGGTCTAGGCTTTTCACAGTACAACAGGTGATGGGCACTTTGGTTGATTCAGACTCTGCGAAGTCATAATTTTATGAAGAATACGTTTCCAGTGGAAGTGACACAGTCAGTGAGAGCTGGAATGATGAGGAGAATCTGGAAAATTATAAATCTAGAGATAGATCGAAAGTAGGAGAAGGGGGCGTGTCCCTCAAACAGCAACATCTGGTGTTCACTTTGTGAAACAAGGTTGATCCTGCTGGGTGGTTTAGCACACAAAGGTGGAATCTTGGCGCTAGATAAAAGGTAAACCTATTTTCTACAGTGTCTCTAAGTTTCATCTTATTCTAGCCACTTGTTTGCTTGTAACTGATATTTTTGTACATCATGTTGGTGTTTTTTTTTTTTTTAACGTTACTGCCCAGGAGCTCAGATATAGGAGGCAGTTAGGTTCAGGACCTGAGGTCTGGTAGGGTTAAAAAATTTAATACAAAGAATATGTTGCATAGTTTATGGCCTGCCATATGTGGTTGTGTCTCGTCAGGCACTTTGCTACAGACTTGTGTAGGCAGTTGGTAGTCCCTGGGGACTGTGGAGTTGTACTGCTGGTTCTGCAAACAGCGTCTGCTGTGACTGTAAAATCCACTGCTGGAGTGGTAGTCTCTGCCACCTAGTCCACGTAAGAGTTGAGTTGAGTCAAGAATTGACACCACAGCACTTGGGGCATTCCCATATGCGCTCAGTCCCCCATCTTCAGCAGCCAGCACACAGTTCCAATACTAGTGGTACGGGTCGTAGTCTGGTTATATATCTGTCTTGCCTTTCCTCTGAGTGTAGTGAGCCGGCCACACTTTCTGGTCACATCCAGATGCATCATTCTCTCCTTGACATAATAATCTAGTTTCTTTTCTGACTTCGTTACTTATTCCCAAAGGGCTCTGATCGCATCTGCCTTGTTATGTATCAATTCACCACATACTGGTGCAGATCCAGCCAGTCTGTCTGCCTGTTCCTTCCCCACCACGCTGACATGGCCTGGAGAAAAGATCCAAAGTATACTCACTACGCGTGACCCTTCCAAGGGAAACTTGCCACTCTGCTCGAAGCAACACTGTCTTCACCTTTCTCAGCATGCTTTCAGAGTCTGTTACATTGTCTGCATCTTGTTCCTGCAGATCTTTTCCCTGTTACCAGTTTACCATATAGGAGATCCTTTGGGGTGTGACCGTCCTCAATGCGAGAGACATGTCCCAACCAGCACAGGCGTCTTTGCTTCAGCAGGCATTCCTGCTCTTTTGAGGTCTCATTCATTGGGGACAAATTCTAGCCGTGATACACCAAGAATGTGTCTCATACGGCACATGTAGAAAGTATTCAATCTTTTTTCTTCTTGAGGAGCATATAGAGTCCAGGTTTACAACACCCCCGTGTGGGTTCCAGGGCCCCATTGTGGGGAAAACAAGAATAGACCCACTGCCTCCCCGTGTGGGTTCCAGGGCCCCATTGTGGGGAAAACAAGAATAGACCCACTGCCTCCCCGTGTGGGTTCCGGGGCCCCATTGTGGGGAAAACAAGAATAGACCCACTGCCTCCCCGTGTGGGTTCCGGGGCCCCATTGTGGAGAAAACAAGAATAGACCCACTGCCTCCCCGTGTGGGTTCCGGGGCCCCATTGTGGAGAAAACAAGAATAGACCCACTGCCTCCCCGTGTGGGTTCCGGGGCCCCATTGTGGGGAAAACAAGAATAGACCCACTGCCTCCCCGTGTGGGTTCCGGGGCCCCATTGTGGGGAAAACAAGAATAGACCCACTGCCTCCCCGTGTGGGTTCCGGGGCCCCATTGTGGAGAAAACAAGAATAGACCCACTGCCTGCCCAACAAGCATGTCGTAAGAGTCGACTAATTGGGGAGCTTCCTTTGAAGTCGGAGTGCATCTGCCGGAGGGGCAAGGAACCAACAGTCTGTATTCAAGAGAATGAGATCTGTAAAACTGATGCACACGCAACACTCAGGTTCTGGAGCAGGACTGCAGTTCAGTAGTAGACGAACAACCAGAACTTTCCGCCAGAGTGTACAGCTGGTGAAAACGAAGAAGAAGAAGAAGAAGGTTTACAACTGGCTTACATCATCCTACAAAGATACACACAGTTGAATCCTTTCCACTGAAATATACAACCATATAGTCCTCTCTAGATACACTGTTGGTGATGATGATTGTAAGCTAATAATGATTTGATGTTGACGAAGATAAAGTGATAAGGGTTTACTGATGATGGTGGTAAGGTGATAATGGTTTGTTGATGACGGTGGTAAGGTGATAATGATGGTAAATTTGAGAATGGTACCGTGATAATGGTTTTGCTGATGGCGGTGGTAAGGTGATAATGGTTTGCTGATGACGGTTTTTCAGTGATAATGGTTTGCTGATGACGGTGGTAAGGTGATAATGGTTTGCTGATGACAGTAGTAAGGTGATAATGGTTTGTTTGTAGTAGTAGTTTTCTGATGGTGGTGAGGTGATAATGGTTTGCTTGTGGTAGTGGTTAGCTGATGGCGGTGGTAAGGTGATAATGGTTTGCTGATGACGGTGGTAAGGTGATAATGGTTTGCTGATGACAGTAGTAAGGTGATAATGGTTTGTTTGTAGTAGTAGTTTTCTGATGGTGGTGAGGTGATAATGGTTTGCTTGTGGTAGTGGTTAGCTGATGGTGGTGGTAAGGTGATAATGGTTTGCTGATAACAGTGGTAGGGTGATAATGGTTTGCTGATGGCAGTGGTAATAGTTTGCTGATGATGGTGTTAAGTTGATAATGGTTTGCTGTTGATGGTAGTAAGGTGATAATGGTTTGATGATGATGGTGATAGTTTGATTTTGAAAGCAGTAATTTTTTTTTTAATGATAAAAATGGTGATGATGGTATAATGATAATAGTTTGATGAGGATGATGTGATCCTAACTTGATAATAGTGGTAATGATGATGATGAAAATAGTAGTACAGCAGTGCTGATTGCACATAAAAGTATGTAAAGGACCCTTTTCACGCCTTTAGGTGTATAGGGCATATAGGGCAAGACCTATGTTTTATAGACCAATCGGCACAAGATGGATGATGTGGTCAGCATCACGTCGGCTGCCTTTACTTCCCGAGACTGCACTCGGTACCCACTCAAGGCTGGGTCGACCTGGGAGCCATGGTCTTTTTTGAAGAAAAGTCCGGCTCCGCCAGGGAGCGAACCCATGACCTTCCGATCTGCGGCACGCGTCTAGCTGCTCTGCCATGGCGACTCCCTTCTGATTGCACATATTGTTCACATAACCTCGGTTGCGTGATAGCTGTAGCGATGACTCAGGAGCCATATGAGGTTGCCTATGACAGACTGTGGGGGGGGGGGGGGGGGGGGTAGGGTCACACAGTATAGTGACCTGATTCTGTTCACATGTGTTGTTGATGGGGCCAGCAGGCTTAGCACTCTCCAATTATTAACTGGTAAATAGAGTCTTCAACACTCCTTGTGGGATCTAGTATATTACGTTGGCCTCCTTTACTTCTGCCAACCCAGAGGTCCTGGGCTCAAATCCACGCCAGGGAGGATTGTTTTTTTTTTTCCTTTCAAAATGGTCCTTAGTTTCCAGGTGGACCTAACCTAAACCTGAGTACCAGGTAATGTCCTGGAAAGTAAAGGCGGCCGGTGGTGTTTGCCACATCACTCGCCAGGTGCTGATAATTCTTTACAAATTTGAGCCTAGCATCTTACGCCCAATGTGCCACCGGCTTGGGGGGGAAAAAAAGGTCCTTTACCTTGATAGTTGTGCTTACCTTGACTTTCCTGGATTTTACTGACACAGGAGCCGCTGTGGCATAGTAACTAGATGCTCGCCTGCTGATCCAAAGGTCAGGGAGTTCAGATCCTGACAAAGTTTGACTTTTTTCTTTCAAAAATTACCTTGGCTCCCAGGTCGCCCTAGCCTTAAATGGGTACCAGGTAAAATCCTGGGAAGTAAAGGCAGATGATTTGATACTGACCACATCACCCACGGAGTACCACTAGGTCTATAAAACATAAGTCTAGCCTTATATGCCCAATGCACGGGCGTGGAAAAGCGTCCTTTACTATACTTTTACTTTGCCCGTCACCCATTTCCTGGGTCACCCTGGGATGCTTATTGTACTGATGTTCTTATTGGTCTTGTGTTATTTATGTCCAGGTGGATTTGTTCAGTTGTTCTAAATTATAGGTTTCTAAATAGGTTTTTTAAATTATCATTGCAGTCATGCCTGAGTATGTTTGAGGATCTGGGTTTCTTGTCCAGGTGGAGGGTTAAGATCGACACTCTGGTCAGGTTGGTAGTGCTGGCGACTAGCTTCTCGTTGCTTGTTCTGTGTTCTCATCATGCTGTTTTGTATTGTTTACTTTTCTATGGGGACAGAATGCATTAGGAGAAATAATGTTCTTTTCTCCCCTCTTCCCCCCCCCCTTTCCCATTTCCACAAGTATGTATCTGTTTCAACTAAAGTAAAGTACTTGTATTTTCCTAATTTATTTTGACGTATTACACATTTCGTAAAAACAAAAATTTCTTCTGTCCCTCTCCTGTACTCTTATCAGTATCAAGCCCTCCCTTTCTTTCCTCTCTTTCTCTCTCAAATTTGTTGAATAAATGTAACTATAAAATCTTAAATAAATTAACTGTAATTCATTTAATAAATTAAGCTATTTAATGTATTGAATAAACTTTACTGATATAGTTGTTTTAAATAAACTATGCCAATATAGTTTTTATATTGTTGATTATAATTGACTAAACCTTAATTGTACAATTTTTTCAAATAAATATTTAAAAGCTGTTCAATAGAACATACAGTACAATTTACGATCACGTAATACATGCTTTATAATTTCTGTCTCTTTTGCCCAGGTTTCTACTGATGGTGAAGAAAGGCTACCGAAACCCACCTTACCACAACTGGATGCACGCATATGCTGTGACTCATTTCTGCTATCTGCTTATTAAAAACCTTCATTTGCACAACTATTTGGAGTGAGTAGTGTCTGTATGATGTTATAAAAAACCTTCATTGGGATAACTATTTGTAGTGAGAAGTGCCTGTTTGATTTTATTAAAAACTTTCATTTGCACAACTATTTGGAGTGAGTAGTGTCTGTATGACGTTATAAAAAACCTTCATTGGGATAACTATTTGTAGTGAGAAGTGCCTGTTTGATGTTATTAAAAACCTTCAATTGGACAACTATTTGGAGTGAGTAGTGTCTGTATGACGTTATAAAAAACCTTCATTGGGATAACTATTTGTAGTGAGAAGTGCCAGTTTGATGTTATTAAAAACCTTCAATTGGACAACTACTTGGAGTAAGTGGTGCCTATGTGATGTTATTAATTATGTTATCTGTAGACACTGAGGACAGTGCAATTCCTAACACTGTTTAATACAGTGATTGAGAAAATAACAATCATATTTCTTGGTGATTTGAATGTCACGTTGAAACTTGGACTTCCATTTTTGCCCGTCTGCTTAGTGGTCTAGGAGTTTGATCCCCTGGATTTTTATAAAACCTAACCAAGACTCATATTTCCTCTGCTTCGTCGTCTCTTCCTCTAGTTTTCTTGGGTGGAGTTTCTGAGACTTATAAGGAGGTTTTTTTTTTTTTTTTTTAAATTAAATTTTGCATAGGTTATTTTTTAAGATTTACGAGGTGAAAAGGTTAATAGTTCGGAGAAATCAACATTGGTGGGTGTGGTTTCCTGAGGAAGAAACCGGATTCAACTAGCTTGATGGTGAACACAAGATATCACTGTAGGCATGAAAGTTTATGCAGCGTGGAAGTTGGCAAGGAACCAAACGGTTTCTGTCTGGATGAGAGCAATGTTCTGCACAGGACTTTCTACATGAGGATGATGGTGTGTTCATTATCGATACAAAGATGTGTTTGAAAAGTTGATTTCTTTTGTCTATGTTTGTTTTCCCTTACAGAGATATGCTTGGAAAGTTGATTTCTTGTGTCTCTATGTTTGTCATCTCTAATAGATTTATTGGAAAGTTGATTTCTTGTTTCTATTTGTTATCTTTTACCAGTATGTGATGTGAAATTTGATTTGTTGTGTCTCTGTGTAACCTCTTACCAATACGGATAGAAAAGTTGATTTCTTATGTGTATAAGTTTTTTTTAAATTACATGCTTGTAATGTTTTCTAATGTCCATATGTTTGTTACCCCTGCAGGACACATTACTTATGTATTTAATAAGCTGTTTCTGTATTTAATTTGAGTAGCTGTTTTTGTGTTTAAGTAGCTGTTTCTGTGTTTAAGTAGCTGTTTCTGTGTTTAAGTAGCTGTTTTTTTTTTTGGTTATATTAAGTAGCTGTTTCTGTGTTTAAGAAGCTGTTTTCGTGTTTAAATTTAGCTGTTTTTGTGTTTGAATTAAGTAGCTTTTTCTGTGTTTAAATTAAGTAGATATTTCTGTGTTTAAATTTAGCTGTTTTTGTGTTTAAATTAAGTAGCTATTTCTGTGTTTAAATTAAGTAGATATTTCTGTGTTTAAATTAAGTAGCTGTCTCTGTGTTTAAGTAGCTATTTCTGTGTTTAAATTAAGTAGCTCTTTGTGTGTTTTAAGTACCTGTTTTTGTGTTTAAATTAAGTAGCTGTTTTTGTGTTTACATAGGCCGTGAAATATATTACATTGTTTTGGTGGGCCGCGGATGTGACAAGATTTTATGAACGGTCAGTTCTCGATAAAAATGTTAAAACTCACACAAGGCGGTCGGATACAACTATGAAACAAAAGAAATGGAAGTTTGACAGCAATCTTTTTTTTTTCTTTTTTTTTTTCATGTACATAAACACATCCGGCGGGTCGAGGCAGGCTGGTTACGCAGACAAGGTTTGAATTGTTGCAAAACTCTCCTGTGTGTGCAGTTACCTTCATATTCGTCCTAGGGAATGCAGGCGTTGTTGTTAATGAAAGAGCTGATAGACTGGCAGGCGCTGCAATAATTGAAGATGGCTGGCCCATGGATCACGCAAACATTGTCATTGCCCTTAGAGAGATAGAACCTTCTATGGATTTGGGAAGCATAATGTCCACATCACTGTTAAGATTACATTACACGAATTGGGAGTAAAGATGGGCACAGCCAAGCATGAGAAGCACACTGGACGCACAAGAAGTCTTGTTAACCAACATAGGACTGGTACTATCAACCGCACAAGGCTGACGAATATGTTATGAGGAGAATCTGAGCGCCTATGGATGTGTCCGGAGTGCTGTGAAGATAATCTAACTCATAACTCACATTGTGCTTGTGTTTTGATGCAGATTTATTGTTTCCTTTACAGAGACATCGAACTGCTAGCCCTTTTTGTTTCTTGTCTCTGCCATGATATTGATCACAGAGGAACTACCAACTCATTTCAAGTCCAGTCAGTAAGTGTTGGCTTTTGGCTTATTCTGTGTGGTGCAGATTTAGCTCTTTAATTTTGCATGCATCTGGTTCCTCTTCCTCCTCTTCTTTTACTGCTTCTTTTTCATCTTCTGCATTTGCTCTAAAAGGGCACGTTGTTTTGTGGTTTACTGCTAAGCTGTGATATCTTTGTCTTTTAGCCCGACACATTTAGATTCAGCAGACCTCTTATTAGATGCCATTTCCTTAACTCTTTGAGTCCCAAGGAATGCATCATACGTTCATTGGTTCCGACATAGAAGCCCAATGAACGCATGATGCGCCGATTTTATTACTTTCTTTACTACCCCCTGGGCCTGTGATGCTAAACCCCCTGGGACTCAAAGAGTTAAGATTTCAGCGGGGGTGGGGGGGGGGGGGTGTTCTTACTGTCTACCATAATGGGGCCCTGAAACCTACACAGAGAACATACACACATGAAAGAAACCAGAAATTGGTAGCTTATTACAAAACTCAAAGTAATGACCAGAACGTAGTTGCTTAATGCACTAATCACAATAACAACCAGTCATGGCTGACAACTTGATACACTGATCAAAGTAACAACCAGCTGACAACTTGATACACTGATCAAAGTAACAACCAGCTGACAACTTGATACACTGATCAAAGTAACAACCAGCTGACAACTTGATACACTGATCAAAGTAACAACCAGCTGACAACTTGATACACTGATCAAAGTAACAACCAGCTGACAACTTGATACACTGATCAAAGTAACAACCAGCTGACAACTTGATACACTGATCAAAGTAACAACCAGCTGACAACTTGATACACTGATCAAAGTAACAACCAGCTGACAACTTGATACACTGATCAAAGTAACAACCAGCTGACAACTTTATACACTGATCAAAGTAACAACCAGACATAGCTGACAACTTGATACACTGATCACAGTAATGACTAGATATCAGTTGCTGAATGCACTGATCAAAGTAACTACCAGACATAGCTGACAACTTGATACACTGATCACAGTAATGACTAGATATCAGTTGCTGAATGCACTGATCAAAGTAACTACCAGACATAGCTGACAACTTGATACACTGATCACAGTAATGACTAGATATCAGTTGCTGAATGCACTGATCAAAGTAACAACCAGCTGACAACTTGATACACTGATCAGAGTAATGACTAGATATCAGTTGCTGAATGCACTGATCAAAGTAACTACCAGACATAGCTGACAACTTGATACGCTAATCACAGTAATGACTAGATATCAGTTGCTGAATGCACTAATCAAAGTAACAACCAGCTGACAACTTGATACACTGATCAGAGTAATGACTAGATATCAGTTGCTGAATGCACTGATCAAAGTAACTACCAGACATAGCTGACAACTTGATACGCTGATCACAGTAATGACTAGATATCAGTTGCTGAATGCACTGATCAAAGTAACTACCAGACATAGCTGACAACTTGATACACTGATCACAATAATGACTAGATATCAGTTGCTGAATGCACTGATCAAAGTAACTACCAGACATAGCTGACAACTTGATACACTGATCACAGTAATGACTAGATATCAGTTGCTGAATGCACTGATCAAAGTAACTACCAGACATAGCTGACAACTTGATACACTGATCACAGTAATGACTAGATATCAGTTGCTGAATGCACTAAATGGCCAATCACTGTCCTAATACCCTGATAAAAGTAATAACCTGAAATGGGTAACTTACTACACTAATAAAAGTAACGACCAGAAGTAGGGGATTTAATATACTAGTTAAAGTAATGACCAGAAATCAGTGGCTTAATATACTCATCAAAATAACAATTAAAGAGCAGTTGCTTAACTCTTTGAGTCCCAAGGAATGCATCATACGTTCATAGGTTCTTACTTAGAAGCCCAGTGAACGCAAGATTCACCGATTCAATGTCTCTCTTGACTACCCCTTGAGCCTCTGAAAGCCTCCACTCATCTCTCTGGTTGGCCTTCTCATTCCAATTGGTGACATCACCTGTTTGCAGGTCTGTTTGGACGTTATCTCTCCATATCTTCTTGGTCTACCTCGTTGTCTACGACCATTCAGCTCCTTTGTGTATACAGTTTTAACCTCTCTGTCATTTGACATTCTCTGAATATTCCCCAGCTATTTCTGTATATTAGATCTCATGATGCCAGTCGCCAGTGGTGATTTAAACAGGTTATGAATTTTGTTGTTGCTTCTCACTCTCCATTCCCAGCTGTTTGCATCTTTGATGGGTCTCAAAATTTATTGCAATACTCTGTTTTCGAAAATGTGTAATGAGGCTTCATCTCTTTCAGTTGTGCTCCAAGTTTCAGAGCCATATAAAACCCCTAGGACTCACAGAGTTAATATTAGCACAAATTAAATTAATAACCAGAAATGAGTTATTTAATATTAGCACAGATCAAAGTAACAACCAGAAATGAGTTATTTAATATTAGCACAGATCAAAGTAACAACCAGAAATGAGTTATTTAATATTAGTACAGATCAAAGTAACAACCAGAAATGGTGACTTAATGCACAGATTAAACTGCACTGTTGTTATTTTCAGCAATCTGTACTGGCGGCTCTCTACAGTTCAGAGGGGTCTGTCATGGAGGTCAGTAAAACAGTCTCTCAGTGGTGTTGTTATCCCAGGTCTTCTGTATTTCAGCTTGATTGCATTTGGGCTTGTATTTGGTTTTATTTCTAAAGGATTGTTTTCTTGCTTCTTCTTCTGCTGCTCTTTATCCTCAACTGGAGAATAGGCCCTCGCTTACCAATGTTTCCAATGCCTACTCTCAGTATTATCTCCAGTCTCTTCTCTCGTCATTATCTCCAATCCCTACATTCATCAGTGTGTCCATTCTCTTCTTCTTTTGTCATTGTAGCCCAGTGTCGTGGTTTTCTGTATTTGTCTTGCACTTCTTGGATGGATTTGTTCATCTTTTTTGCAGGTTTCAGCTACACCATTTATCCATCTCTTTCTTGGTTTTTCTCTCGCCTTCCTCCCTGATGTTCTGCTGTAAAAAAATCTCATATGCAGTTTGGTCCTTTAATTTTGCCGGTCCAATGTTCACAAAAGTCTTCTTCTTCTTCTTCTTCTTCTTCTTCTTCTTCTTCTTCTTCTTCTTCTTTTTCTTCTTTTTCTTCTTTTTCTTCTTCTTCTTCTTCTTCTTCTTTTTTCTTCTTCTTCTTTTTCTTCTTCTTCTTCTTTTTCTTCTTCTTCTTCTTCTTCTTCTTCTTCTTCTTTTTCTTCTTCTTCTTCTTCTTCTTCTTCTTCTTCTTCTTCTTCTTCTTCTTCTTCTTCTTTTTCTTCTTCTTCTTCTTTTTCTTCTTCTTCTTCTTCTTCTTCTTCTTCTTCTTCTTCTTTGTCTTCTTTGTTCACCGGCTGTAAGCTCCCCTGGGAAAGTCCTGGTTGTTTGTCCATTTGGACTTTGGCTTTGTGCCAGGGCTTGAGTTTTTGTGTAGAATCATTTTACTGACTTATTTGTGTGCAATCATTTTATAGACAGACCAGAGCAAGTTATTATTCTACGCCTCAGAACAGGGCACAGTCGACTTCGCAGCCACATGTACACACATTTTAAAATCAGCGAATCAGCTATGTGCACATGTGGATTGGCACCTGTGACAACAGATCATGTCCTCCAAGACTGTCCCAAATACAACATATCAAGGCAAAACTTTTGGCCAAGAGAAACATCTGTGCAAGTCAAACTTTACGGGTCGCTGAGTGAATTACAAAAGACAGTATAAAGAAGAAGAAGAAGATTTGCGTGCAGTTGGTTGATTCTTGGGCAGTTGCATTCTGACTTCAGAGAAAGTCCCCAGTAAATCGACTCCTGCGACATGCTGGGGCCCTGGAACCCACACAGGAACACAAGAGTCTGTTCTATATGTATTCAATATTGCTTGAGTAGTAACAATCAATCTACAACACAGGAACACAAGAGTCTGTTCTATATGTATTCAATATTGCTTGAGTAGTAGCAATCAATCTACAACACAGGAACACAAGATTCTGTTCTATATGTATTCAATATTGCTTGAGTAGTAGCAGTCAATCTACAACACAGGAACACAAGAGTCTGTTCTATATGTATTCAATATTGCTTGAGTAGTAGCAATCAATCTACAACACAGGAACACAAGAGTCTGTTCTATATGTATTCAATATTGCTTGAGTAGTAGCAATCAATCTACAACACAGGAACACAAGAGTCTTTTCTATATGTATTCAATATTGCTTGAGTAGTAGCAATCAGCTATGCCACTGCCGGCCTGTTAAGTCCGCCGCATGGCGGGGAGGAAAAAAATCTGACCTAGTTGCTGCCCGTCTCTTTCCAGGTGAGCTATTGGTCCGGTAGCCTGAAACCTCGCAGCCTCAGTTTCTCCTTTCTCTAAACTTATAATTATTTCCAATCTCTACACTTATTATTATCTCCAATCCCTACATTCATCTATGTCTCCATTCTAAACTGATCAGTAATTCCAATCTTCATCCTCATCATTATTTCCAGTATCTACGCTTGTCATTATCTCTAATTTTCTATGAATTATCTCCAGTGTGCACACTCATTATTATCTCAAGTCTTCACATTCATTTTTATCTCCGATCTCTATTATTGTCTCCAGTCTTTAAACTCATTAATATCTCCAGTCTCCGTACATGTTATCTCCAATCTCTGTGCACAGTATTATCTCCAGTGTCTGTACACATTATCTCCAATCTCTGAACACATTATTACCTCCAGTATCTGTACACTTTATTATCACCAGTCTCTGTACACATCATCTCCGATCTGTGTACACATTATTATCTCCAGTCTCTGTACACTTTATTATCTCCAATCTCTGTGCACATTATTATTTCCAGTGTCTGTATACATTATCTCCAATCTCTGTACACATTATTACCTTCAGTCTCTGTACACATTATTATCTCAAGTCTCTGTACACTTTATTATCACCAGTCTCTGTACACATCATCTCCGATCTGTGTACACATTACTATCTCCAGTCTCTGTACACAATATTTTCTCCACTTTCTGAACACATTTTTACCCCCAGTCTCTGTACACATCATTATCTCCGATCTCTGTACACATTATCTCTGTACAAATTATTAACCCCAGTATCTGTTCACATTATTATCTCCAGTTTTGTACACATTATCGCTAGTCTCTGTACACATTATTATCTCCAATCTCTGTACGCATTATTATCCCGTCTCTGTACACATTATTATCTCAGTACACATTATTTTTATCCAATCTCTGTACTCATTATTATCTCCAATCTCAGCAAATTATTAACCCAAGTATCTGTACACATTATTTTCTCCAATCTCTGTACACATTATTATCTCCAATCTCTGTACACATTTTTGTCTCCAGTCTCCACAATCATCATCTCCAATCTTTTCACACATTCAGTGTATCTACATTTAGTGTATCTAGCCAGAAGAGCTAGAAATAGAACCTTATATCTCCCTCGACACCCACAGCGGTAAAAGAGGAAGTGAAGAAGAAGAACAAGAAGTGTATCTACATAATACTGGAACAAATAAAACATTTTTCTACCCAACTTTATCTGTCTGTACATTCAACAATGTATCTATTTATGTCTGTGATTGTCCCTGTGTGGGTACCAGGGCCCCATTGTGGGGGGAAACAAGAATAGACCCACTGCCTACCCAAAAGCATGTCGTAAGAGTTAACTAATTGGGAGCTTCCTTTGAAGTCTGAGTGCATCTGCCTGAGAGGCAAGAAACCAGTAGTCTGCATACAAATGAGCCAGATCTATAAAATGGATGCACATGCAACACTCAGGTTCTGGAAGAGGACTGCAGTCCAGAAGTGGATGAACAACCAGAACCTTCCGCCAGAGTTTATAGCTGGTGAATGCGAAGAAAAGAAGAAGAAGATGTCTATAATTGTCTCTCCGTCCGTCTGCCTGTCTGTCAGTCTCTCTTTCTATCTTTCACCCAGTCATGACTTCAACTTATCGATTTGAGCAGGGCAGATATTTTAAAACAAAAAGTGATAATTTTCTGTTGACTATTCTTCAAAACTACAGAGGCACCACCTGGCGCAAAGCATGTGTATCCTGAACACAGAGGGCAGCAACCTGTTTGAGAACCTCTCCAGCAAAGTAAGTCTCCTGTAGTATCCATGTGGATGTTACCATATCCATTTGATTATATCTGTGTTGAAGGTTGGTTCTTTCAGTTGATGTCTTACCATTTGACAATTCCATTCCTATTGTGGGATGCAATTTTTCATTATTTTTAAAACCCTACCCCAGCTGAAGTCAAGCCCTAATATTAACTAACGGTTGAACTGGGTTTCTGGGACTTGTGCCTGGGTGATCCTCATCCTAATGGTGGCATTTTGTGTCATGAGGTGTTGGTTGCTTGTTGTATGGTGCTGGTGGGGTTGAATGAGAGAGAGAGAGAGAGAGAGAGAGAGAGACACGCACACGCACACACATGCACACGCGCACACACCTTACCAATGACCAGTTTGTTCTATCTATATGAATGGCTGGTCCTTGCAGTTCTCTTCTCAATCAAGGATGTCCACTTTGTTCTGTCTGTGTAAATTGCTGGTTATTCCTGTTGTGTAATCATAAACATCCAGTTCTGCATGTGTTAAATGCTGGCTGTTCCTGTTCTTTTCTCACCAGTTTTCTGTCTGTCTAAATTGCTGGTTCTTTTAGTACTATTCTCACAGATATTGAGTTCTGTATGTATATTTGGACATTTGAAAGTCATATTCGCATTTCACAACTGCAACTGATAATGCTGTGCTGCATGCGGAAGACCAAGGTTTGAATCCGTCGTAAGATAAACACCAAAACAGTCAGAAAGATTGGTGGAGGAATGTCATAACTGAATGATGATTGATGAAGGAATGTCATGACTGAATGGGGATTGGTGGCGGAAAGTCATGACTGAAGAGGATTGGTGGAGAAATGTCGTGACTGAATGAGGATTAGTAGAGGAATGTCATGATGAATGAGGATTGGTGGAGGAATGTCATGACTAAATGAGGATTGGTGGAGGAATGTCATGACTGAATGAGGATTGGTGGAGGAATGTCATGACTAAATGGGGATTGGTGGAGGAATGTCATGACTGAATGAGGATTAATGGAGGAATGTCATGACTGAAAGAATTTTGGTGGAGAAATATCATAACTGAATGAGGGGATTGGTGGAGGAATGCCATGACTGAATAAGGATTGGTGGAGGAATGTCATGACTGAATAAGAATTGGTGGGAAAATTCATGACAGAATAAGCACATTGTAACTTGTGTTTAATTCGGTTGCAGGAATACCAGATTGTGTTGGGTGTAACTTGTGTTTAATTCGGTTCCAGAAATACCAGATTGTGTTGGATGTAACTTGTATTTAATTCGGTTGCAGGAATACCAGATTGTGTTGGATCTCATGAGAGAAATCATCCTGGCCACGGATCTGGCTCATCACCTGCGAGCGGTCAAAGATCAAGAGAAAATGGCCGAGAGTGAGTGTTGCCCTTGGTCTCACATTGCATGTCAGTTTAGTCATTGTTAGATATATAGTAAAGGTCTCCTTTCCACGCCTTTAGGTGTATAGGGCTAGACCTATCTTTACAGACCATTCAGCACAAGATGGGTCATGTGGTCAGCATCGCGCCGGCTGCCTTTACTTCCTGGGACTGCACCCGGTACCCACTCAAGGCTGGGTGGACCTAGGAGCCAAAGTCATTTTTGAAAAAATGTCCGGCTCCACCAGGGAGCGAACCCACGACCTTCCGATCCGCGGTGAGTGTCTAGCCACTCCACCACGGCGACTTTCATTGCTAGATATATGGTGAGAAGAAAAGCATTCTGGACAGTCGCTGGCTGGCTCAGTCTGCGTCTGCAGAGTCAGCTGGTTGCATGTAAATGTGTTGCACACTGCGTGAGCTCTGTAGCTTGACCATCTCTGATACTCCTGCACTCGTGAACTGAAAAATGATATCTAGAAATGAACCCAAAACTCTCAGAGCATGAGGCAGACTGCTTAACCACTGTGCCACGATGACCCTGTGTTGTAGCGGGACTTTTACTGAAATTCGATGTATTGGGTTAAATGGTGTAGATATCGCAGCCTAGCTGTAAACTGCAATACAATGTGCCATGTGCCCTTTTAAGGATGAAAAAAGTTAGTGGTGCATGGTTCTGTCCTGAGGACTGCAGGATTGGGTTGTCCTGGTGGCTGCAGGATTGGGTTGTCCTGGTGGCTGCAGGATTGGGTTGTCCTGGAGGCTGCAGGATTGGGTTGTCCTGGTGGCTGCAGGATTGGGTTGTCCTGGTGGCTGCAGGATTGGGTTGTCCTGGTGGCTGCAGGATTGGGTTGTCCTGGTGGCTGCAGGATTGGGTTGTCCTGGAGGCTGCAGGATTGGGTTGTCCTGGTGGCTGCAGGATTGGGTTGTCCTGGAGGCTGCAGGATTGGGTTGTCCTGGAGGCTGCAGGATTGGTTTGTCCTGGTGGCTGCAGGATTGGGTTGTCCTGGAGGCTGCAGGATTGGGTTGTCCTGGAGGCTGCAGGATTAGGTTGTCTTGGTGGCTGCAGTATTAGGCTGTTCTGATGGCTGCAGGAATAGGTTGTCTTGGTGGCTGCAAGGTTGGCTTGTCCTAGAGGCTGCAGGATTAGGCTGTCCTGGTGGCTGCAGGATTAGGTTGTCCTAGATGCTGCAGGATTAGACTGTCTTGGTGGCTGCAGGATTAGACTGTCTTGGTGGCTGCAGGATTAGGCTGTCCTGGTGGCTGCAGGATTGGGTTGTCCTGGTGGCTGCAGGATTAAGTTGTCCTAGTGGCTGCAGGATTAGACTGTCCAGGTGGCTGCAGTATTAGGTTGTCCTGGTGGCTGCAGGATTAGACTGTCCTGGAGGCTGTAGGATTAGGCTGTCCTGGTGACTGCAGGATTGGGTTGTCCTGGAGGCTGCAGGATTAGATTAGACTGTCCTGAAAGCTGCAGGATTAGACTGTCCTTGAGGCTGCAGGATTGGGTTGTCCTGGACGCTGCAGGATTGGGTTGTCCTGGAGGCTGCAGGACTGTCCTGGTGGCTGTCGGATTAGGCTGTCCTGGTGGCTGCAGGATTGGGTTGTCCTGGTGGCTGCAGGATTATGCTGTCCTGACTAGCTTGTTGGGATATGTGTTTTTACTGTGCAGTATGTGTGTCTTATAGACTGCAATGGTTGGGTCACATAGAGAGAAGTACAGGAACCAGAGAGACAAAATCTGCATTCGCAAAATGAGAGCAGTTGAAGAAGACGGTATAGAGATAATACACAGGCAGACCTACAGACACCTGGAGTTCCAATTGGAAAGAGAAGGCCAGTGACAGAGATTAATGGAGGCAGGTGATAGCTACCGCAGTGCCTCACAAGGGTTCGCAATGAAGAAGAAGAAGAAGAAACTATACGTAATAAAGAAGGATCCGGTAAGTTAACTCAACTGAAATACTGTATTTCACAGAATGGAGAATAGTCTGTGCAACATTTGCTGCTGGTATGTTATCGATTCCTAACTCTTTCAGTCCCATGCAAGGCTTGATGTGTAACAGACTTGTCCGAATGAAGCCATCGCACAATGTGTTCACTCCCATTTTACTGTTGGTCACAGCACGCTAAAGAAATCTGGCTTCCATACTGGCTACTTCTGCTTCATAATTTTGCCAGTTTGAATATCATGCATTCATTCCCTTACGCATTTGCAGCAAAGGGGAAAACTCCAGCATTATCTCTAGTGCCCTGGCTTCCAGTTAGCTAAGATGTGTGAACCTGTCTCATTTGTCATAGGTCTGCTATTAATCCCAAAATGTTGAATAATCTTACTAAGAACTTATTATAATCTCTGAATATTATAATCTCAGAAAGGATTGCATTATAAAGTTAGATGGGTTTTAAATTGTGTTTTTCTGTCACTGGCCTCTCAGATTTTTTACATTAAATTCCTGGCTTTTGCAGACTTCTGATAGAGTAAGACTGCTCTAGTGGATTAATTGTAGCTTTGTGTAAAGGACCCGTTTCCATGCCCTTAGGCATATTTGATGTATAGTCATCATCATCTTGTAGCAGGTCCTTTGCAAAACATCGCTCTCATCATGGTCTGACTGACAGAAACTCCATCTCTCGCCAGCTCTTGCGCCTCATGTACTTTCATACTAAAGGAGTTACTTATATCCTGTGCCCATCTTTGTGTTAGTCGGCCCCTACCCCTCCTTTCTGGTACCATGGCTTCTGCTGTAATTTTTTCCAATCCATCATGGCGCTTGATATGACCAAAATATTTCAGCTTCCGGGATATATATTGCTAGAGCTATCTCGGTTGGGGATGTGGTCAGCATCACGTCAGCCACCTTTACTTCCCAAAACTTTACCTGGTACCTGTAGTGTATTTGTTGTAGAGAATTATCATTGTTTAATTATCTTCCTGGTGTGCAGCTGGCCAGTATGACAAGAACAACCCAACTGACAAGCATAACCTCTTGTGTCTTCTGATGACAGCCTGTGACTTGTCGGATCAGACAAAGAGCTGGCACAATACAAAACACATTGCAGTAAGTTGTTTGTCCATATTTCAGCACAATAAATCGGCTTAGGGCAGGCTGTCTTCTTTGGGCTCACTGGGTAAGTCTTCAGTTGTGATTTGAGACCCTCCAGTTGTGATTGGAGACCCTCCAGTTGTGATTGGAGACTTTCCAGCTGTGATTGGGGACCCTCCAGTTGTGATTGGAGACCCTCCAGTTGTGCTTGTAGATCCTCCAGTTGTGATTGGAGACCCTCCAGTTGTGATTGGAGACCCTCCAGTTGTGATTGGAGACCCTCCAGTTGTGATTGGAGACCCTCCAGTTTGCCAGCGAAATGTTTTCAATGCATTTTCTCTTTTTTCTTAGTGTTCACCAGCTGTAAACTCTAGCGTAAAGTTCTGGTGGTTCTTTCACTTCTGGAATTCGGTCTTGTTCCAGAACCTGAGTTAGTGTGCACATTGGTTTTTACAGATCTGGGTTATTTGTATGCAGGTTGTTGTTCCTCCCATCTCAGGTAGACGCACTTCGACTTCAATGGAAACACCTAATTATCTGACTTTTACTACAAGCTTTTGGTGGGGGGGGGGGGGGTGGTAGTGGGTCTGTAAAGAGGGTGCTGCAATGTTACATAGAACCTGTTCTACTGTATGGCAGCAAATCTTGGAATGTCAGTGAACAAATTAAGAAGAATTAGGAAGCAACAAAGGTGTGGTTTCTGAGACGAATGTTACAAATAGCTTGGACGGCCAGAGTAACTAACAACGATTGCTTGAAAGAGGCTGATGAAAGTAGATCTCTATATACAACAATATGAAAGAGACAAACACTGTTCTTTGGCCATATAATGAGAAGAGGGACGTTGGAGAACATCGTGACAACTGGAAAGATCAGTGGGAAAAGGGGCAGAGGCAGACCAAGAGAGATGATGCTGGATGGGCTAAAACGATGGCATGGAGGAATATCATCAAGAAAGCTGTTCCAGTCAACCAGGGATCGTGGTCTGTGGAGACGCATGAGCATTTACGCCAGTTGGCAGGGCACTTGATGATGATAAGTGGGTCTGTCTGAAGGACGACATTAGATGTTGTACGAACAGCACTGTAAGAGAGAGAGAGAGAAAGACAAGAAACAGCATGTTGGAGATCCATGCAGCCTACTTTCACTGTGGCAAGACGGCACTTAATTGATTGACATTTCAGCTCCATACAACAGTACAGATTTGTCTGCTTCTTCTCACTGATCCAGTGTGTAGCCCTGTGTTGAAAGTAGAACATAATAAAGGACCCTCTTTTAAACGTTCTGGCATATTGGGCATGTAGGGCTAGACCTATATTTTATAGACCAGCGGGCACTCACTGTGTGATGTGGTCAGCATCAGACCGACCCAGTGTTGTGGTTTTTGTGTGTTTGCCTTACAGTTCTCTGGTGGCTGGATAATGGATTTGTTTATCTTCTTTCAGGCTTCAGCTAGATCATGTATCCACATCTGTTTTGGTCTTCGCTTCACCTTCCTGTCAGATAAACTGATATATAAAATTGCATGTGCTGATTGGTCTGGATGCATTCTCACTAAAGGGCCGAACCATTTCTTTCTTTGGTTTAGATGGTTTAGGTTAAGACGATGGATCAACATCATGGCACAAGGATAGTAACCCATAAGTGCTCCATTCTACTACTGACTCAAGCCTGAGTCCAAAGAGTCTCAGCGCAGTGCACAAACTTTGTAGCACCAGCAAGAATCCTGAAATACTTTGGGTAGATTTTTAACTCAAAATTTTGCCCAGGCAGCACTGTTAGGCTACTCTTTTTCAGTTTCCAACTGCAAAGGTATTTCTTACGTGCGCAACAATACACACGGGGGTCTGACCTTACTACCCAGAGACCAGGGAAAAATTACTAATGATGCACGTGAAAAAAAAAATCCGGCCTTCACCGGGGCTTGAACCCGGGGCCTGAACCCGGGGCCTCTAGACACCATGCAGCAGCCCCTCCTCTGTAAATTTCATTTGTCAATATAATCCACATACTGTCTTATTCCAGATTTCTCTCTAATGCTGGTATTCGTAACCCTGTCCCTTCTTGTGTAGTTAGTAGGGCTGTACCGAATATTCGCTTTGTATTCGCTTTGGGGCCGAATAGTGGACCTATTGACTATTCGGTATTCGGGCGAATAACTGGGGTCGGGCCGAATACGAATAGTAGTTACCTTACATCCGCTTCTGCATACACGGCCTTAATTCTGACAACATGGAACGATTGGTTTTGTTGAAAGCTAATGCAGCTTTCCTGCAATAACTAAGCTGTCAGTGACAATTTCCAAGTTTAGTTACTTGTTATAATACTTAGGATTCTTTCAATCCTAGTTATTAGTTACCACAGACTGACTGAAGGATGCAAAACATAAAATGTTTTTAAATGTTTACTATTCTGTACGAATACTAACTAGACATGGAAAGAATATAAACTTCGGCCACTTACAAGTTGATAATATGAAAATCAAACAAACAGAAACATATAAATACTTGGGTGCGAACTTCAACTGTTCCAACATGCTGAGAGAAGAAATACAATCTAGAATACAATCTAGTGCATAAAGTGTACAATAAAGTGTACTATGCCCTTCAACATCTACTAAAGTCAAAGTGTCTGTCACCAAGATAAAAAATTATAAAACGTTGAAAAGACCAGTCGTTTTATATGGCTGTGAAACTTGAAGTAGAAATAAAAGAGATGAGGCCTTATTTCAGGTTTTCGAAAACAGTCTTACAACAAATCTTTGGACCCATCAAAGATGCTAACAGCGGGGTTTGGAGAGTAAGAAACAACAACGTAACACATAATCTGTTTAAATCACCATTGATCACTAGCATCATGAGAGCTAATAGACTAAAATGGTTGGGGCATTTTGAAAGAATGTCAGATGACAGAGAAGTAAAAACTGTATACACCTGAGAGAAGAATGGGCGTAGAGCACGAGACAGACAAAAAAGAAGTTTGTAAGATAATGTCCAGCCACACCTGCAAACAACTGGTGTCACAAATTGTGAAGAGAAGGCCAGCCAGAGAGATGAATAGAGACGAGTGATATCTGCAGCAGTAAACCTCAAGGGCTCAGAATGCTAAAGAAGAAGTTGTCTATTCTGTGCTACTTTATGTGAAGTAAAAGTTCAGAGTACATTTGACATTATTAATGTGTTTTTTTTTAAAAGATATATTTTATACACTTTAAACTATTCGTATTCGTATTCGGCCGAATAGTTGGTCCCGCTATTCGTATTCGGCCGAATAGTGAAAATCACTATTCAGTACAGCCCTAGTAGTTAGTGCCCTTATGGAGACAGCTAATTTCACCAATGGTTATTTTCTGTTCTAGTGCCATATTCATTGCCCATGATTGGCACACAGTAGTCAACAGAGCTAAATTTTAAGTTTGATCCTAATTTGAATTTGCCTCCACAGTCCTTGGTGTACCAGGAATTCTTCTCACAAGGAGACCTTGAGAAGGCTTTGGGTAAAAACCCGCTAGAGATGATGGACAGGGAGAGAGCTTGCATTCCTGAGCTGCAGATTTCTTTCCTGGACAACATAGCCACACCTGTTTATAAGTAAGTTGATGGGTTGCCTGACAGACTGGGTGTTTGAGGCTGAAGGGTAAGAGACTGTGGGTGTTTGAGGCTCAAAAGTAACAGCCTGTGGGTGTTTGAGGCTCAAAAGTAACAAACTGCAGGTGTTTTAGGCTCAAAGGTAACAGGCTGTAGGTGTTTGAGGCTCAAAAGTAACAAACCGCGGGTGTTTGAGGCTCAAGGGTAACAGGCTGTAGGTGTTTGATGCTCAAGGGTAACAGGCTGTAGGTGTTTGAGGCTCAAGGGTAACAGGCTGTAGGTGTTTGATGCTCAAGGGTAACAGCCCGTAGGTGTTTGAGGCTCATGGGTACAGACTGTAGGTGTTTGAGACTCAAGGGTAACAGCCTGTAGGTGTTTGAGGCTCAAAAGTAACAAACCGTGGGTGTTTGAAGCTAACGGGTAACAGGCTGTAGGTCTTTGAGGCTAATGGGTAACAGGCTGTAGGTGTTTGTGGCTCATGGGTAACAGGCTGTAGGTATTTGAGGCTCAAGGGTAACAGACTGTAGGTGTTTGAGGCTCAAAAGTAACAAACCGTGGGTGTTTGAGGATAACGGGTAACAAGCTGTAGGTGTTTGAGGCTCATGGGTAACAGGCTGTAGGTGTTTGAGACTCAAGGGTAACAGACTGTAGGTGTTTGAGGCTCAAAAGTAACAAACTGTGGGTGTTTGAGGCTAACGGGTAACAGGCTGTAGGTGTTTGAGGCTCAGGGGTAACAGGCTGTAGGTATTTGAGGCTCATGGGTAACAGGCTGTAGGTGTTTGAGGCTCAAGGGTAACAGGCTGTAGGTGTTTGAGGCTCAAGGGTAACAGGCTGTAGGTGTTTGAGGCTCAAGGGTAACAGGCTGTAGGTGTTTGAGGCTCAAGGGTAACAGGCTGTAGGTATTTGAGGCTCAAGGGTAACAGGCTGTAGGTGTTTGATGCTCAAGGGTAACAGGCTGTAGGTATTTGAGGCTTAAAAGTAACAAACCGCTGGTGTTTGAGGCCGAAGGGTAACAGGCTGTAGGTGTTTGATGCTCAAGGGTAACAGGCTGTTGGTGTTTGAGGCTCAATGTTCTTCTCTCTCTTTCTCTCTCTCTCCCCCCCCCCCCCTCCTTCCTCTTTTTCTCCCCATCTCCTTCACTGTCTTTCAGTCTGTCTCTCTCTCCCTCTCTCTGTCTCTCTCTCTCTCTCTCTCTGTCTCTGTCTCTCTCTCTCTCTCTCTCTCTCTCTCTCTCTCTCTCTCTCTCTCTCTCTCTCTCTCTCTCTCTCTCTCTCTCTCTCTCTCTCTCTCTCTCTCTCTCTCTCTCTCTCTCTCTCTCTCTCAATTCCTGTTTCAAGTAGAAGAAACAGTTAAGGTCCCGTCCTGTTTGTTGGTTGATGCTAGTTCCATATTTGCTTAAGACCAGATGTCATCTTTTGAGTTAAAATGTTGGTTTGTCCACAGAATTTTGGCCAACATGTTTCCAGAAGCCGATATCCCCCTGAAGAATGTAGAAGAGAATCGTAAGCACTGGGTTCACATAGGGCAGCTGCTGAAGCTACGCCACGGCACCTCCACCCAGGCCATGAGTGTGGAGCAGATCATTTCTATAGAAGAGGAGGAGGAGAGTGTCAGCGCGGAGAGCCAAATCAACGGGAGATGAGAACCAAGGATCTGAGCTGTCTCAGATGTATACAAGAGTGAAGGAAATACCAGTGAATCGAGTGAATGCAGCAAGACAAATATCTGCCGAGTTTAAAAGCCGGGCATGTTAATTAGTTCCGCAGACTTGTTGTACATACTTACAAACAAATATGTGTTTTCACACGGTGGAATGAATTCTTGAAATCGACCTGCTGTCTTGCTGAAGTCACGAAGCACATCTAGTGTGAACTGAAATGAAATGTTGCAGTTCTGGCAGTCAGCCCCTGACATCCTTGTTGATTAGTAGCAGTGTTTGGAGCTGTAAAGTTTCTCCAGCCCCACAGTGTGTTAAGTTAACTGGAAATGTAATCATTTGCTACTATTATAGCGTCCTGTGATGTGTACATTTTTCAATATCCTTTAAAACTGTTCAGCTTTTAAGTATTCTAGAAAATTGTTTCACTTTCCAGTAACTTCAACACAGTTAACCTATCAGTCACTCTGTACACTGTTAACTTTTCAGTAAACCATAATCAGTAACTTTCAGTGACCTATACACTGTTAACTTTTCAGTACCCATTTTTTTTTTTAAACATATCAAGTAAACTGTCAGTGCAGTAGAGACTGATGAAATTCTAGTATTCCTTCTTTAGCTGTTTGTTTACCTTTTTTCACATCCTGTAAACAGTTATTGCTTCTCTATCTTAATGACGGTTATCATTTCTGTATCTGAGAGACAGTTATTGTTTCTCTATCTTAAAGACAGTTATTTCTTGAAGACTGTTGTTATTTCTATATCTTAAAGACAGTTATTGTTTTTATATCTTAAAGACAGTTATTATTACTGTATCTTTATTGTTTTTATATCTTAAAGACATTTATCATTTCTGTATCTTTAAGACAGAAATCATTTCTGTATCATCTTTAAGACAGTTTTTATTTCTATATCTTTAAGACTAATCATTTCTATATCTTTAAGACAGTTTTTATTTCTATATCTTTAAATCTAATCATTTCTATATCTTTAAGACAGTTTTTATTTCTGTATCTTTAAGACTAATAATTTCTATATATTTAAGACAGTTTTTATTTCTATATCTTTAAGACTAATCATTTCTATATCTTTAAGACAGTTTTTATTTCTATATCTTTAAGACTAATCATTTCTATATCTTTAAGACAGTTATTATTTCTATATCTTAAAGATTTATCTTGTCAGTGTCTTAAAAACAGTTATCTTGCCAGCATCACTAAAACAGAAACTGTTCTGTATTACAGCACTTTGAGCTGTTAACTGTCTCGTGAACTCTGAACTGTTTGCTGTCTCATGAACTCTGAACTGTTTGCCGTCTTCTTGGTCAGGGCTTTCCGACTGTCTGGAAAGATGTGCATTCCACTGACTTCATTTCTCATCAGTTCCCTTAAACTCAGCGTAAGTCCAAATCCGGATGTTATTTCATGTGTTGAAATATGTTCCTCAAACATCTTCTTACCTGAATTCCCCATCGCCCGCTTTTTTCCAGCATTTTCAATAGTCGACTTCCAAATCTCATATTATGACCAAGCTAAATATTTATATTGTTATAAATGTATACATACATATCTACTTTTTATAAGCCTACACATCGGAATGTAATCGGAATCCATGCCACACTGACAGCCCCTAGCTGAACGAATCCCATCTGAGCTGGCCAGACAGCGAGCAAAGTATTTCATGCTTCATTTTTTCTGGATTTCATTCATATACTTTAAAAGTAGTGGTTTTGTATCAACTTGTTAATAGAAGTAGTCGTAGATGGCATTTCTTCATTCTTGTTTAGCATAATATTGAAGCCCAGATCAACCTACCTGTTTGTTGGCGTTCCATTTTACTCTGTTTTATTTATGACTAGAAGCTGCTGTTTTTGTTGTTTTTTTTTTTTGTTTTTTTTTTTAATTGATTGTGTGCTGTTGCGATTGACGAACTGTTTACTTCACCTTTTGTTTATAGTGGCACTGACAGCTGTTTCATACTGTCTGTGCTGTTTTTGTATGTATGAGCATGTCTGAGTTGTCTTCTTGTTTCAAGCCATAATATCTTCCTGCCTTCCTTAGTGTTCACCGGCTATATACTCTAGTGGACAGCTCTGGTTGTTCGTCCAGTTCGGGGGGGGGGTCGTGATCCAGAACTTTGAGTATTGCATGCATATCCGCTTTACAGACCTGGCTTATTTGTATGCAGACTGTTGGTTTCTGACCTCTTAGACAGGTGCACTCTTTCCTCGAAGGAAACATCCCTAATTAGTCGCTTTTTATAACATGCTTAGTTAGTTAGTTGGGTTATTATCATTGCACTCCGGACATGTCCATAGGTGCTCAGATCCTCCCCTCAGTATGAACCCCAGCATCCGGCGGCTAATAGTACCAGTTCTATGTTGATTATAAAGTCCTCTGATGGGCTTGGTGTGCGACTCGTTTTTTGCTATGCCAAACTTGACTTCCATGTCTATCATTCTCGGAGGACATTATTAATACTAGCATGATCCATTGGTTGACCGTCCGTAGTGAAAGCGAATCCAGCCAACCTATCAGCTTTTTCATTTTCATCTACGCCCGCATATCCCGGAATGAAAATAAAGGTGACTGCACGCACAATGGACTTATGTAATGATCCAAGCCATTCCATTTGCACCGAACCTGCTTGAACCTCTGGATTATACTCGGTGAATCACTGAATGGGTGTTGGGCGCTGAGTATGCTGTGAACGCCCATACGCTTCTTTGTTGGCGTATAACGGATCCGTCTGCGTAGATCAGTACATCCGACTCGCCTGAATTTTCACTGATGAGAGCGTTGATCTCTGCATTGACAGCAACAAGACTCCTGCATTGCCTGTCGAGTGTGGCAATGCAGGAAAATTTACAAATAAGCGCATGAGGCACGAGCATCCACTTTGCACCAGGGGTGATGTCGGTTAGGCTGCATATTTGCTTGATAACATCTTCTGCCTGACCTAACCACAATTGTCCTCTCTTTAGCCTGTCGCCCTTTTCACTAAAAAGCGCTTGATGCATGTGGCTCTTTCTTATTAGCGCATATTACAAGGTATGCCTGAGTCCTCCAGATCCGGATCCTTTGGTTCATGGTCACAAAGTCAAACAGATATCTCACTGCTCCACAGGAAGTGTCTCTTGTACATCCCAAAATAATGCGCAGGGCTTCATTTTGCACCTTTTCAAGTCATTCAATCTGTGTAGCACTGACAGTGGTGGAAACGACCAGCCCGTAGAACAGAAATATTAGTAGTGTTTGCTCCATATTAGAAGCAGCCATAACCCTCATTGCAGCTAGACCTTTGCGTGCTTTTGTTATCACATGGTCAGCATGTTCCCTGGATGACAAGCTGCGATCAAACCTCACCCTGAGATATGCTGGTTCTGATCAACACACTGTCACCATTTTTGATGCAGAACATGCTTGTAAGGGGGCAGGGGGTCTATCCCCAAATTCCCCCCCCCCTCCTCCCCCGGGGAAAAATCTGTGTCCTTCACTGTGATCATAAAATAAAAGCATTCTGTTTGGAGAAAAAAATCAGGACCACAGTCCAGGAGTGGACGAACAACCAAAGCTTTCCACCGTAGTTTACAACCAGGGAACAGTAAGAAGAAGAAAGAGAACGTTGATTTATACTGCGTTATGTATTACTCTAGTCAGAATGTATTATAGATTGAACAAGTATCTTTTTTCCATGTGGTTATTATATAATTCATTAGCTTGTACTTTGTGATAATAATATGTTTTATTTATCTTTTTTTAATGAGTGCGGTGTGTAATAGTATGGGAAACGTACATTTACATTATTTTTATTATCATCATGCAGTGCTGTTTGTATGTCACATAAGATTTGCAGTCAATTCCTTATGTGCGTGCGAAATCCTCCTTCCTGGGAGTATTTGCTTGATATTTGTAGAACTCAGGTTACATGTTATGATCTCATTTAACTTATGTAAATGTTTCTGAAGGAGAATGTTCTTGAACAGCCATTTTTATTATAATACCGTTTTATGGAGATGTTCTAGAACAGTTGGGGTTTTTCAAATCTCTGAATGGAAGTGCTCCAGGACAATGGGTTTTTTAATCTGTGAATAGAGGTGCTCTGGGTTTTTTAATCTGGGAATAGAGATAGTCTGGGTTTTTTAATCTGTGAATAGAGGTGCTCTGGGTTTTTTAATCTGGGAATAGAGATAGTCTGGGTTTTTTAATCTGTGAATAGAGGTGCTCTGGGTTTTTTAATCTGTGAATAGAGGTGCTCTGGGTTTTTTAATCTGGGAATAGAGATAGTCTGGGTTTTTTAATCTGTGAATAGAGGTGCTCTGGGTTTTTTAATCTGGGAATAGAGATAGTCTGGGTTTTTTAATCTGTGAATAGAGGTGCTCTGGGTTTTTTAATCTGTGAATAGAGGTGCTCTGGGTTTTTTAATCTGTGAATAGAGGTGCTCTGGGTTTTTTAATCTGTGAATAGAGGTGCTCTGGGTTTTTTAATCTGGGAATAGAGATAGTCTGGGTTTTTTAATCTGTGAATAGAGATAGTCTGGGTTTTTTAATCTGTGAATAGAGATAGTCTGGGTTTTTTAATCTGTGAATAGAGATAGTCTGGGTTTTTTAATCTGTGAATAGAGATAGTCTGGGTTTTTTAATCTGTGAATAGAGGTGCTCTGGGTTTTTTAATCTGTGAATAGAGGTGCTCTGGGTTTTTTAATCTGGGAATAGAGATAGTCTGGGTTTTTTAATCTGTGAATAGAGGTGCTCTGGGTTTTTTAATCTGGGAATAGAGATAGTCTGGGTTTTTTAATCTGTGAATAGAGGTGCTCTGGAACATTGGACTTTTTTATCTCTGAATAGAGATACTATAGAAAACATTTGTTTATATACCTCTGTATGGAGATGCTCTGGAAAATAATTTTTTTTTTTTAAATATCTATACCTCTATATGAGAATGCTCTAGAACAATTGGATTTTGATTTGTGAATAGATGCTCTAG